CCCCTCCCCAATGCCTCAGCAAGGCAGGCAGCAGAGGAGCCACACAGAGAACCTCCTCTCCACTTGTTGCCCCCCTGCTGCCCTGATGACATGCCCCCTGCACACAGGGCTGTGCCCCTCAAAGCAGCAGCAGGTGCTGGAGGTGCGTTACCAGGGCAGCGGCGGGAGTGAGCAGTGGTGCAGAGATCCCTGGCAACTCTGCTCTACCCTTCTGCTCTGGGTTGTGCCCGCCAGGCCCCAGGGGAGGGAAGCAGGGTGGGAGCTTGAGCCCACAGCTTGCACCTGTACAGATCTGGGGGGCACGGGTCCCCCCTGCTCCCTGGGAGTGCACCCAGCAGTGGGGAGCTGGCCCTCCCCCTCCCCTCCCTCTCCCCACTCCCTGCTCCCCTCTTCACTGGACGAGCCACTCCTGCTCCTTGCTGGGGCTCTGAAGCCATGCATTGCAGCCCCAGGCCCTGGGCTCCAGGTCCCAAGCCCCACCCAGGTGGGCAGCAGCCCCAGTCCTGCCCTCTTCCCTGCACTCAGCTTACCTCCTGGAGCTGCTCTGCAGGCTGACTGGGGCTACGCGCATGTCTGGCTGCGTTCCTCCTGCTCCATCCTTGCTTCCTTCAGGCTGGAACTCTGGCAGCCTCCAGAAAGCCTATTGCAAAATGACAAAATCTGTGGGTTTCTTTGGTAAAATGAAAAATCTGCATTTGCTTCTGGTAAAAGGCAAAATCTGCGGTTTGCTCCTTTTTTTTCCGTGGGAAACGGAAAACCCAGATCCCTGGTGTAACAGGAAACTCTAGCCCTGTTACTAAGAGGCAGAGTTGCCCCTTTATGACCCAAGTCTACAGGAACAAGAAGCACCAGGAAGGTAGGAATTAATGGCCCAACCACCCAAGCTGGTCAGCTGACAGGAAAGGGATAGACTTCTGGGCACATATAAACCCCAGGGCCAAGGCTGGCGGGAGGAGGTCTCTGGCAAGCATCCACGGGAAGAGAGCTCCTGCACAGCAGAACTACCCAACAACGCTGTGGCTGCTGGCCAGACTGTTGCTGTGGCTAATGAAGCTGTAGGGGTCTATAAGGTAGCCAGAGCTGCGGTGGGGCGCTCAATGCGCGAGGAGCAGTTTGAGGTTTTAAGGAGCCAGAGTGTGGCTTTTATGACTTGTATTATGTTATAGCCCAAGGGCTCATATTTATGTTATTGTTGTATCTGGTGGACCAGGCTGAGGCTATTTGGGGAGGAGGAGGCCTCGTTGGGGCACACTACCGTGCAAAGACCCAGCGCCAGTAGGGGCGATCAGACCCCAGCACCACGGGGCACAGTGCCAGGAGGCACGGAGACAGGGGGCAGATCCCAGTGCCAGGAGGCACAGCAACAGGGAGTGAGTTAACCCAATGCCCTAGGGTGCAGGTCAACAGTTATATAACATCTGCAAGGCGTGGGCCACCGTGTAGGAGAGGTCTGGAGCAGTGGGTAGAGACCCCTAGCATTGGGGTAGTAAATGGGCAGCGTTTCACTTGAGTAACACCATAATTATTGTTCCATCAAGGCATGGCAGAAGAGATAGGTGGGTGGGTACAGCGGGTCAGGCCTATGTTACACAGGCCTGGAGATGGACCCCTGTCACAACTGGTTATCTGTGAAGCCCCCAGGATTCACCATGGCCAAGGTACAGCCCCAAAGATGAGCCAACTCACTGGAAAACCCAGGGCTGCCTTCTGTACCCATGCTCTCTCAGTTTGCAGGGGTCACTAGTGTCTGTGAACTGGTAAATGGCCCTTGCAACCCTGATCTCCTTGTTCAGGAGCGGCTGCTAGAACTGAATAGGAGCTTTAGCATTGGGTATTGAATCAAACTCTCATGTGTGTCTTCCCCAGGCCTACAACCTCATGCCAAGGATTAACAAAACCAAGAAGTTGTCCATCCTGATTTCTGTGGTGGTGATACTCTTGGCCATTATCTTCATTGGAGCCACTCTAATTTAAGTCCGTATCGCTCAGGAATACACTGAAAGGGTAAGCAAAGTACTCGGAGGACAGCTGATGACTCTTGTCGATCTGTGTGACATGCCCAACATAGACTGTTTATTACCATGGTGTTCACAACTGGGAAATGTCCTTGGGCTCTACCTAATGTCCCAGAAGGGCACTGCTAAAGTCAAGGCATTAGAAAAGAGAATATAGAGTCAAGGGTATAGGTTGTAGCCATGTTGGTCTAAGGACACAGGCAGACAAGGTTCTTTGGGTAAATCTGATATCTTTTATTAAACCGACTCAAATAGTTGGAAAAATTCTTCTTTGCAAGTTTTTGGGTACAAATACCCTTTGCCAGGCTGAGGAAACATCTGCAGTTAGTATGCAGGTTGCATTGGAAGAGGAAAACTCAAACAGGTTAATGAGGAATCTGTTTTCCATCTCTGTGGTGCAGTAATGGAGAACTAGAGGCATATTGCTACAGAGCCACAGGAATGAGCTGTGCTCCGGACTTGGCACTGAAGGTCACCCCATCAACTCAGCTTTCAGTGTGTATTGGACCTCTCAGGCTGGGGAGCCAAAGTGGGAGGCCAGCCACATCACTACCTTGTATGCTTTTCATTACAGAAGGTGGCATGTCTAACCCTGCCAGCCCAACGCACCACTGAGGCTTAGGATGGATTTTTGACCATCTTCATTATCTGTGTATTTCAAGGCAGGTGTTCCAGTTCCATTCTCCTGAATATAGAATGGGATATTTATCCCCTGAGCATTGAAATTTCCTGAACTTCAGCCACAAGCTTTTGAGTGAAAAATCTGTCATCAAAGGCACCATCAAGGCTGGTAAACCACATAATTGGCTGGACTTTCCAAAATTCCTGCCCTTGGAAATCTTAGCTGCAAAGCTGGTGTTTCAGGTAGGAGAGATCCCACTGAAAACCTTTCACTGTATGCAATGTTTTCCCTCAGATCATTCAAAGCACCAGCAGCACAAGCAATGGGGAGGTGATTCAGCAGATGGGGATGTTGAGCAGTCAGGAAATGGTGGCTGCCTTTCACATCCAAGGCAACAAAACCTCTTCAACTCTTGTGTATGACTACAAACACATGAGTCCAGAGATAGTCCACACTCCACTCAAACAGCAAATGAATCTGAAAGCCGGGGGTGATAAATCCTTACAGCACTGATGTGCATGACCTTAAATTTGCTAGGGTTTGAGTTTTAAACACAACTAGGATGTGAAGACCTCAGAGTCCATATATAATATTGTGATTTTTCAAAGCAGATTTTGGAGAAACACCTTCTGTTTTCACTTAAGCAATCTCTGCTTGGTCTGAGTGATTTCAGTCAAGAGCAGATCCAGGATTAAGATACTTCTGTTTGACTATCCCCTTTTCCACTCCCACTACATTTTAGGACCAACCCTGTTCTGCTTTTTGCATCCTGAGGTGTAGAAGCACACCCTCACTATCTGCTAAATTTGTTTAATTAATTTAGTTCCCTGTACACACCATAGCTGCAGGAACTCACTCTAAAGTGAGTACACAAACTAAAAATACAGTAGTTACAAATCTACGAACACTAACAAATGTGTTGACAGTAATTACAAGCTGAACTCTAAATAAGGCACTGTCAACCACATAACTCAATACACACAAGCCTCCAGCTGTTCTCCCTGGCACATCGCAATCAAGGCTTGGAACAACGCAGTCTGGATTTGCTGCTTTGCTGTTCATTTATATACCAAATATTTGAGTGTTCTGGGGTTTGTGCAGTAAATCTCACTCTGCATTGAGTCTTATTGGATTTTGTGTCCTGGACAGGAAGAAGTGTTTTGTTGTGAAGATGGAGAAGGTTGCAGTGCCCAGCCTGACTGAAGTTGCCCAGAGAATTGAGAACTTCAACACACAGGTGAGCAGAGCGACACCAGAGGATTCAGGGTGTCTCGCTGAGTGGTTTCTCAATGTTGCTTCGCTGTTCCCAGAACGTGCTGTCTTGCCTGTTTTACAGGAGGACAACAGCTTGTCCTACAGCTTCCTTGAGGGGCCGATGACAGATTGCACAGTTCTAGGAAAGCCCCTGAACAGTCTGTGTAGCGATATCCCATCTACCTGACTGAGGTAGGAGCCATGGTTATGTTTATTGCATCGAATGGTGGCACCAGCTGGTGAGATCTGTGTGGGGCAGGGGCCGTACGACACATTCTGAGCTCAGGATAAACTCATGGGGCTGATTCACATCTTGCAACTTCGGGGAAAACTCACAGGGGAAAAAGGCCAAAGCACTTATGGAGGAGGGTTCATAGGATCCCTATACTATCTACTACAGTGACTGGCAACTTTTTATGGTGGTGGGCTAGAACAACCCAGCTCAGGCTGGAGGCACCCAGCATTAGGTCTGCACGAAGTGGCTAGTATTCGCTTCGGATTCGGCCGATTCAGGGGACAGTGATTTGATTCAGTGATTCGAATCGCTGTCCTGAATTGATTTGGCTGAATCTGATTCAGAGATTCGGCTGCTGCTAAATCGGCCAAATCTCCGAATCACGCAGGCCCCATCCTCCACCCCCTCTCCCAGCCCCACACACCCCAGCTCCCAGCTTTTTGAGAGAGAGAGAGAGAGAGAGAGAGAAAAAAGCCCACACTCACTGGCTCCTACCAGGCAGGGGGTGATCCCTGCTGCCCCCCCTGCCCCATGCCTCATGGGGGGGATTCTGCCATGAGCCCCCCAACTCCTGCCTGCTCTCCCAGCCTCCCCCCATGGGTGCCCCACTCGACCCCATATCACAGCCCTTAAAAAAAAGCCCCCACTCACTGGCTGCTGCGGGGTGGGGGAGGCGATCCCCACTGCCCCATGCTGCATGGGGGGTCTCTGCCACAAGCCCCCAGAGGCCGTTGCAGGAGCTGGTGTGTCCAGGGTGTTTTTGGGTTTTTTTTAAAAAAAGCTGAGGTGGGCAGGGCAGCTATGGGGGGGCTGGGAGCTCATGACAGATCCTCCCATGCAGCATGGGGCAATGCGGGGCAGTGGAGATTGCCTCCCACTTGGCAGCAACTGGTGAGTGGGGGCTTTTTTTTAAAACATCCAGGAGCTGGGGTTGGGCGGGGCAGCCATGGGGAGGCTAGGAGAGTGGCGGGGGGGCAGGGGAGCTGGGGTAGGAGGCAGGGGATGGGACCTGGCAGGGGTCCCG